AATTCATTCACAGATTTATAGAAGCTTGTTGTAAAACACATCAAAACCTACCTTTATACATCTATTTCATGAATTGAAGAAGAATAAGAAGAATCAAAGGAGGTTGAACAAGGTGCAATTGAAGAAATTCAAGAACTTCAAAATCTCTTTCCATCTTCTTTTCAATTATTGTTATATATTTTCAGTTGTGTTATTATAATTACTTTTATGATTAGCTAATTAATGTACAGATGCTAGGATAACGTTTTCAATTATTCAACTACGAATGATGTTATATCTTTTCAGTTGTGTTATTATAATTACTTTGATGCTTAGCTAATTGTATAGATGCACATGTTGTGTATGATTGTTAGGAACTTAAATGTTTTTTCTTTAACTAGCTTCTAAGTGAACTGTCTTCTGATTTCTATTGACTATCGAAAGAAGAAATAGGAATTTGATATGTAGTAATAATCATTGTAAAGTCAAATTAGGAATAGAGACATCATTATGTTTTGCATGATCTTTTATGATGTTCTTGTGATTTTGATGTTTCTTTAAATATTCATATCTTTCATAGAGATGTAAAATGTCACATATGATACATTGATTTTTTTCTTAGTTATTTAGTTTTTTTATAATTCAAAATTACTATTTTACCCCTTTAAAAATTTGTCAAAGTCAATTTATTGGATCAATTAACTGTCAAACTAACAGAAATCATCAATTTGGACCCCCAAATGCTAATTTTTGAAAGGTTTGGAGCAGTGGGTGGCACAAAATGAAGATTAAAGTAAAGTCTATAAAAAGTTGGACCGTTGTTGCAATTTTTCGTTCTATTTGTTTGGATTTCAGCCATGACATTATGAAATATTTGATGTCATGATACAAATGAAATGATTGAATCAAGTTTGCAGGGCATTGTGTTGGAGGTTTTTCTTTCGTGTACCGTTAGTTATTGCGATGTTCAATGAAATTCGTTTCATTTAAAAAAAAAAAAGAAAAAAAGTTTGTATAAAAGTGTAAAATTTGATACGGTGGATACAATTTTCGGAAATCCTACCCTACCTCGCTACTCAAAAAATCTGTTTGAGGACCGGATTCGTCCCGGTTAACGTTAATCAACGAGCGCCCGGCCTTGGAGGCACAAGCGGCGAACCAATTTCCTCGAAGAGTTGAAACGACAAACACCGTACAGGCGCTCAAAATAACGAAATGCAGACCAATACCTCCTCCTCCTCCTCCCTTTCTCCTTCAGCTGCTACGGAGTCTCTCCTGCAAGCCCTAACCACCAGAGGCTGGTGTTTCGGAGACGTCAATCAAGTCAAAGCATTGATCGCAGCTCAGTTATCCCTACATGGCGGTCGCTGCACCGTTGGCTCAATCGAATCGGAGCTGGTCAATCTGGACTTGCGATCCATTGGTGGGAAATGCTTACCCGAACCTGCTATTCTACGCAAAGTCTCTCATTTTCAAGGCCCTAAAGTCCTTCAGGTAACTCGTACTTGGATAGTAGTATCAGTTTTTGAAGCAAAAAGGTACATTTAGTTCTATTTTTGTACGCTAGATAGAGAAGTCTGAGCAGTTTATGTTAGACTCAAGGCGATAAATCATTACTGTAAAAAAGTAGTTATAACTAGGTTAAGAAATTTGCTCTTTTGCACAACAATAGAAGTTATGAATATTATAGATGTTTTGTACTGTATAATAAGTCTTGAATAGTTACTTTTTTTGATACTCACAATCCTAACCTACGGCATGTTTGAAATTTTGGAATTTGGCTCAGAAATTATTATTTAGTCTTGCTATCGGCATTGAACAAATTCAACGACTTTTATGATTTGTATAGCTAAGTTTGTTCAATTGGAAGTTCTAGTGTTCTACTTTTCTCATAATTGATTGTGATGTAAGTCTGGTACTTTTCAGTCCTTAGCTTTTTTGATAGAATCTTTGAGAGTGTCTATGTTCATATATTAAATACTTACATAGCAAATAGGTTGGTTTGGATAGATGTTAAGATGTGTTAAGAAGAATGTCGGTAATTTACTGGCTCTTATATGCGGTGCTTAATGTGTTGGGTGGACCTGTCAAACATTTTCCTTCCCTATAGATTGGGATAGCTAGAAGCGAACCAACAAAATACTAGAAACCCCTATTATATGTGAAACCATGGCTGAAAAATGTGGGTGAAACTATTCTTTGTTGACCTTTGGTTATCCCAAATGAGGACCTACAACAATTGTTTCACTGATCAATTTCTACTCACTACCTCAGATTATCAATCCCATTCCAATAATGATATGGTCCCTTCCCAAACATATGTCATTCCTGTCTGATTCAACAACCATGACCCTGCTTAGCTGGCTTATGGATTCTAACCTCATTGCTGTGTGATTTTATTATTTATTCCTTAATAGCTTAAAAGTCTGCCCTGTCAAACCCATCTATCTGCATACCATCTTTACCATCTATAATTTCAGATTTGAACACGAGAAACAGGATACATACTGGAGGAGTTTTTCTTGGGTCGAAGAATGCTGCCATCATCACGAAGCTTCCTTTTAGATGAATTAGTTATCTCTTATTTTCAACAAGATCTTTTTCTCGTGAATTTATTAAAGAATGAACTCAATGAGGCTAGTTAATAATTTTGCACAGATACTGGTATTAACACTGTAGCTGTCTGAAATGTAAGATGAAGATTGGAAGGTTACTGAACTTATGTGTGAAGATTTCTGCATTTTATGATGGAAGAATAATTTAGGTAAATCTTGGTATACTATTTCTTTTCAGTCTTGAGAGTTGATGATTTAGTTCATGGTCGTTGACAAGTTTATGTACATGTCAAGTTTCTCTTATCTGTCATTGTTATATTGGTTATTATTGGAATAGGAAAATTGGTTATACATAAAACACCTACAGCTTGAAATGAAATTTCACTGTTAAATTTTGGAGAAAACCATTTTTCAGTAAATTGGATCTCACGTGTAAATGCTAAAGCCAGTTTTAGGGAATAAGGCTTATTATCTTGTTCTTGAGTTTCCCTAGCACCATACTACTAAAGCTGATGGGCATGTGATGAAACATTAGAACAGGAAACATGCAAAAATACACATTAATTTTTTTAAGTTGTAAAAGAAATAATTATAGTTTATTTAATTGTATTTTTCTGCATAGTTATTACTTATTAGTCTACCCAGTTGGAAATTTTCCCTTTTGGCTGTTTAGATAATTTTCCATTTTTAAAAGGGATTTTGAGAATAAATAAGATTAGTCTCTTGGGGGGGGGGGGGGGGGGGTTTTTCGTGGTTTAATTGTTAAATGGAACTTCTTGAACTCTTTGCTTGAAAATTATTACAATTATCTTGTTTAATGCAGTACCTTGTCATCAAGGAAATTTCTAACGGTAAGCAAACACCCACCCCACTACGACAAAATAAATAATATATATATATGTTTTTCCTTAATAAGGTTTTTGCGATGCTTTCTATACGAATTACCATATTTAGCCCCTGTTTGCTTCCCATTATTCCAAAAAATTGTTTGCTACAGTAAGCTTCTTCACCACACATTCACCCAATATATTTAGCCCCTGTTTGCCTCCCATTATTCCAAAAAATTGTTTGCTACAGTAAGATTCTTCACCACACATTCACCCAATAAAATATTCTACAAATAAACCAATAAAGTTACTTTAAATTTCAACCACACATTCTCCAAAAAATACTATTCATTACTCTATTTTTCTCCCAATAATGGGAGACAAACACACCCCTAAATCCAGCACATTGGCTGAGCTCCTGCTATGTTGTGAACAGATATCTTCAGTCAGAGACATATCTAGAAGTACAGCTGAGAGTTCAGAAAATTCCGACAATCATCGCCTGTTAAGATTGAAACTCACCGATGGACATTCCGAAATAACTGCAGTAGAGTATTCTCATGTGCCATCAATTCCTGAAGATGTTATCCCTGGGACTAAGGTATTCCAATCTTTTATTTCTTTCTATACTGCCTCATTTTAAGGCATAATTAAAGATAACAGTCAGAATCACCTAATTTTTTCTACTCTACCGGTTGTGGTTGGAAAGAAAGAAGAAAAAAAGGCTTGCACTAATGAGGAAGGAACAAGTTATTTTATTCTGTGGTGTGTTTTAACTTAACGTTAGTCTACGTTTGCTCAATATTCAGTTTTAATTGTTTCTCATAACTTGCTAAAGAATTTTTTGTTCTAATATTACTGCTTGTTTGTTTGGGTTGCCAGGTCCAACTGCAAAATAGAGCTGAGATTCACGATGGTATTATCTGCTTTCACGATAGGATAATTACTATGTTAGGAGGTATTGTGCAGTCGCTCTATGAGGAATGGCAGATGAAGAATAAATATTTGGTTAACTCACTCTCCACCTCAAGGCTATTGCATGAAAGTGCAGAAGGTCCACCCCCGTTTGAGAAGCTCCAAATTCAGGCTCCTTCACAACGAATTGCAGGTATGTATGTACGTACGTACATACGTACATACGTACTTCTTGATCTAAGGCCATAGAGTACTATACATTTGTATCTAATGTATATGTTGTATTTACATAATCATATGGCAATTTTACAGCTAACTTATGTTTGTAAAAACATAGATTTTTGATATGTGAATTGTGAAATTCCTTGGGTGTTAGTCTAGAATAAATTAGTCACTTTGAATTAGAATGCAGCCTTTATGACATTTTTAATGTGTTTGAGCCCCATTTTTATGGAAAAATAGGTTTTGTATTAGTGATTTTTTTAGAGAATGTGTAGTAAAAAAATAGGAATAAGTTTTGGGTTTACGTGTAAAATTATTCTATTGGGAGAATGCGTGGTTGAAAATGAGTTTTGATAGAATGGAGCTCAAACTGGGGCTTTATCTCTCCATTTTTGGACAAATCTAGATCTTGATTATTCTTTTGCAGGATGCGTGTACTATGTGATGCCAGCTGGCCCAGCCCCCTCTATGGGGACACATTGTTACATCTGTATTCTATGAATGTATGTTCAGTCCTCGCATTTTCCTGGATTGCAGGCTTTTCTAGGTCATCTGTCAATGACTCTGGGTGCACCTTGTTTAGGAAAAGTGAAAGCTCCAAAATGAGTCAAACCAGTGGACTCCAGGACAGTGATCCAACCATGGATAGTGAAAATAATGTTGCAGAATGTCGTGATAATGTTGATAAAAGTAAGGAAAAACCGGCCAGCTCCGATACAAGATCAAAAGGTAGGGGCTTCATTTCAGCCAAGTTGCAAATAACTTGTACCCTTTTTTTTTTTGTGGTGATACAACCGATTCTTCTAAATTTGTATAAGAAACAAAGTAACAAGGCTTTATTCACTGTGAAGGTCTACTTTTCCCTGGTACACAGAAATTCTTGAAGGCCATGAAAATCAATAGTAGTTTGATGCAGTACTGAAGTTTTATACTTTCTATCTCACTAAGAATGACTAAAGGCTGAGTTAGCTAGAGCAAAAAGGGAAACAATTTTGTAAATATCATCCCTGAAGTTTAGGGAGTCAGGTTAATAAATATACCTACCAAATCACAACATTATAGATCATCGTTATTCCAAATAAATAAAAATTCTGATGGATAGGTGTGATACCTGACTTGATCTATGCTTGGTAGGCATTATTTGGGCACTATATTGGAATGAACCCTTTAAGACCAAGTATACCTTATGCATGTTGGAATCATACTTGATGACTAAGGAACATTATTGTAGTATAGAACTTTTAACTTTGATGATGCAGTTTATTTTGGGATCAAATGCATCTGAGTGCCTCATTGATGAATACAGCATAAATGCAATATAATGATGCCAATAGAAAATAACTAGGCATCACAACATAACAATATTTTCCATTTTGCTTCATTCAGCTTGTACTTGAATAAGCTGGGAGATAGAGTTTGTGAGTAAGAAGTTGAACCCCCCTTCAATTCTTACATGTGAGCATCAGTTGCAATTTCAAGCCTCTGCTGATCTGGTCCTCTTCATGAATTGAGTGAGATGAAATGATGGAGGATTGATACCTCTAATGAGTTACCTTGTAAAATGCAGCCATGCCATGAAAACCTTGAACGTCATGGGATGATTAAGTATTCTTGGTTGTGTCATCACTTTAGAATGTGGTCAAACAGTTGGAAATAGGTAATAAAGGGTTAAAAAAGCTTTACAATGACTCAAAGAAGTGTGCTTAACTGAGTTAGAGAGACTTAAGAGCATTGCCAACCATTTGTTAAATCCATCTTCAGTTTCAAAAGTTGCTTTACACACCTCTCCAGTTCTACTCTTAAACCAAGTTAGAAGTTTGCAGAAAAACCGATCATGTAAAATAACACTTAGTCTGACAATGTGCTTGACTGTTATCTTGTAAATTGCGGGGTGGTCTACACTCATTTTCCAGCTTCTATTGTTTGGTGTGAAAGATCCACTTGCAGCCTCGTGATAATTTGCTTAAGCTGTATCATATGAATGATCCCTTTTTGAATCCGTCTCCTATACATCATTAGTCATGCCAAAACTAGTATGTGTCATATCTACATGGAGAACATACCTCAAGTAGGAATAATCCTAATTGGTGGGAGCCGTTTTTCTCGGTATAGAGAAAACACAAAGATGTAATTCGAGGAACATATTGTAATTTTCCTCTTCGATATAGTGAAACCATACAACGGCAAGTGGACGTAATTGTCACATTAATTGAACCACTCTAAATCGGTGTTTTTGACAATCTTTTGATTTTTGTTTCTTGTTATATAAGTAGTATAGGACCATGAGAGAAGATTTGTTGGTGGTAGCTTGGAACAACTTTATTAGCTTGAGGACTAGAGGATCTAATTCATGAAAGCTTCATTTCTGCCTCATTAGCCCTCGTCTTTGTTATGAAGATAAGTGTGTCCTTTCCTCTATCGGCCTGTATTGCAAACTTCTGCTTTTACTTGAAATAGGATGAACTCGTCTCCTTGTACAAAATCGGTGCAGCACCTATCTCGTTCACTAAAATAAGAGCGTGACAGCTTGATATTGTTGTAAAAAGGCTTGAGTAGGCTGGGTAACAATTAGGAATGATTCAAGGAAGAAATATCAGGTTTTTTGAGTTGATGAAGATTGGCCACTGTTGCGAACGGGGCAAGAAGCCAAGAGCTTAGGATGAAGTAGCAGTACACTATCTGAAGTCTGTCCACAACAGCTCTGGATAACCTATTAACTTGATATTTCATTATATTCTGACTAAAAGTTAAACTACTATTTTGTATCCCACCAACAAAACTCTACTTACAGGTCCCAACATGACAAAAAAACACGAAAAGTTAATTTCTTTCACCCACATTACAGCAACAATTTGCAACTAAAAGAAGTTCATAAAGTACCCTCGAAAATAATTAACTGAGTAAAAATTTAATTTAGAACTCATAACAAATGTAGAAGTTAATTATATAAACTCTTAATTCAGGTGTGTATCCTTCCAATTCGTGCCAATTAAATCTCGAGTGCAGGAACGTTCCTTTTATCACGTCGTTTACAACTCAAAAGGTTGCTGCCATTTTTCCCCATTTTAATTTAATTGCATTACTTGGATTCTCAAACTAACTTTTAATGATGCATTCATTACGGTGTTATTTTTACTTTTTCTGAATGGACATGTTCGAAGTACTGCACATATCTGTTTCTTTTACAGTTGCTGCATCTGTACCTGTTCAAAATCAATCTGCTGCCCAAAAACTTCTCCAGAAAAAGAGCCAGCCTGATTACGGTGATCTCCATTCCAGAGGTCAAAGGCATAGAAGGAAGGGAAAAGAGGAAGATTCACCTATGTTCACGCTGGATGAGTGGGAAAGGAGAAAAACTGGAGTCAATCTTCCAAGAACAGATGAGCTTTCTGATATAAACCAAGATGAGGATCTTGCTAGACAGCTTCAGAGGCAATTTGATTTGGAAGATATTCCTGTAAGCATTTTCTGCTAATGATTTGCACAAAATAATATCACCCTGAGTACAGTCACCATTATGGTTAAAAGCATACTTGAGAGATTGTAGGTCATTTTCATTGGATAATGTTCTGGTAATAGTACATTCTTTTTCCTTTTATATTTGAATTTATTTCATCCTGCATCTGGTATTTCATGATTTCGTCGAATGAAAAATGTACAGATTTTTTCCACATCTAAATAAAATTGTGGAACACCATCCAGTATGAGCTGGATTACTTTCTGGACGTGCCATAGTTGTGGTCATGGAAAGAGAACTGGGAAATGATAAGATGAAATGTTTTTCAGTCATCAGTAGAGCGTTTGGCTATGTTATTTGATATTTATTTCCATTTTTGTAGGAACGGAAGGATCCTCATATGCTGGATGCAGATTATATAAAGAAGAACATGTTCAATTTCGAAAGAGATGATAGCGGGACCTTCAGTGGAACTAGAAGTAGAGGAAGAGGAAGGGGAAGGGGAAGGAGAGGAGCGAGGGGGAGAGCTTAACCATGGTAGATTTCTCTTTTATCTTTTTTTTTTCTTTTGTGTCGATATGCCCCATTGATTCCAACCCTTATGCTGTTAATCCTCAAAACAATTTTTTTATGCATCTTGAATCTGCCTGTGGTAATTTTGAACTGCTATTTCAGATTTTTGGATGATATTGTAATTTCGTTTTGAGATCCATAGATCAACATGTTATGTTGTGAAATACATGTCAGGGAAGATGAAGAAGTGATTAATTTTAAACTATATTCAGCTCTTCTATTAGGATATATCTAGGGCCAGTCGAGTAAGGACCCTTAAAAGGAATGGATCCAACGACAAGTTGCTTCCTCAACTAGTTGGGCCTCCATAGTATGTAGACAGAATATGAGAAGTCAAAAATGCTTCAAGCACCAAAAAAACATCGGAGGTGCCCTTTATTTAAGAGAGGGAGATGGATTATTCACGTTTCATTAGATGGTTCGAGACTAACCAAAAGCTAAGCAGTGGTAATTTAAAAAAAAAAAAAATCAGGGAAAAATTGGGATATCTTTTAGTGGAGTTAAGCCATTTTACCAGAAAATGTTGCCAAATTTCTTGATAGATGATTAGTTGGCTGTGTATGATTGAACGTAGAAATTTGAATTTTTTTTTTAAACAATCCAATGAGAAAATGTCATGTGGCATGGAGCATGTTTGGCTAAGCTTAAAATCCAGTTAAATTTAAAAATATAGTCGTTATTAGGTCCCACTCGTTTAATAAAAGTCGTCAATAACGGCTAGTTTTTCAATTTTAATTCGATTTTAATATTTACCGAACATGCCCTTGTCAAAAAATCTGGCAAAAGTGTCTAGCAATGTAGCAAGGTTCCTTTTAGTGTACCCTTCATATGTCCAAAATCATATTCGTATGGATCCCTTCAGGGGGTGGTCGAGTTGATGGAGCAAGTGAGCGCGGAGATCAAAGGTCACGAGTTCGAATCCTCGGTCGAGTTCGTTGCACCGGGCTTATCTAGTGCGGTTTACCTCTCATGTGTGGTTTGCGAGCTAGTGTATATGGAGCGGAGTTTATCTAGTGCGTACTCACAGTGGTTGCGGCCCTTTGGGGTGGTCGAGGCTCCGTTAGCGGGTAACAACTATGGGTTCCTACGTCAACAAAAAAAAAAAAATTGTATCCGTATGGTATACAACAATACGTGTGAGAATTTGTACTTGTAACCACTAGGGAATGGATAATAGAAAAGATTGGACCACCAGAATTCTTGATGAGACCACGGAATCAACAGTTAAGGAATGTGTCCATCATGCACCACATGGCCTTTACAGGATCATTTGTTATAATATTAATGATTATGTGTATTCAATTTGAACTTTTAAATATTTTTAGAAATTTAAAGTCTTGGATTTATTCAATATAAACTTTTAAGATCATAAAAGTATAAACTTAAATAGTCTTTTTAAAAGTCTTTTAAAGTTTCGAAGTATTGAATAAAGACCGTAAAAATCTTTAAAAGTCTGCGTTATTCAAAACGTCAATGATTTCTAAAATCTTTTATAAAAGTCTTTATGGTATTAATTTTCAAGCATGAAGTACAAAAACAAAATTTCACAATTTGTCATCATTCACCCACAAGACTTTGGGACTTTCACGAAAAAAACGTTTAATTGTCTTTTAATATTTATCTCTCCTCTTTTCTTCTACAAATCCTAGAGCTATGGTTAAAAGATTGATATTTTTCTCTTTTTTGTATCGATTATATTTTGTTCACTTTTCCTTATTTCTCTCTCTCATTTTTTTTTTTTTTTACATTTCTACAAAAGGGAAAGAACAAAGTGTAATTAAACAATCTTATAACATTTTTCTCTCATCTTTTTCATTCAAATTATTTTTATGAAAAATATCAGTTTGTATTTAAATTTTTTGAGTTCTAAAATAGAAAAGATTAATTTGTAAATAAATTTTAAATGTATTTATTGATTTTTTACCTTCAAATGTTTGACATGTTGATAATACCGAATACTAGTGATTTCTTTGAAAACGTAAAGTAAGGGTAGGCGTGCAGACCAAACTTCAAGTTTTACGAGTCTAGATGAGGCCTAGTCATAAAAAAACATTTTCTTATTTTTAAAATTATTTTAAATTTTTAATCATTCTAAAAATTATTTAATAATTAAAATAATTCATACTTTTATTTTTTATTCCAAACGCTAAAAATATGAAAATTAGAGATCCAAATGTTCCATTTACAAAAAATGGAGATGTAAATGCTTTATTCAGCCCAACTGTAATTTTCCCTTTTGAATAAATCCTCATTAATAGCTTTTTCTTCAAATGTTTGGAATATTCAATTCTCAATTATTAAAATATTGTAAATAAATCTTTGATGTTCAAAAATGTCATAATTTAACAAAATATTTAAATTTATTAATTCTTTATAAAAAGTCTGTCAAAGTGGCATTATTTATTTGTTTGTAGCGAAAAGTTTGTCCATCTACTTGCATATGCACATTCTATATTCTTCTTCGTCTGTAGCAGAATAAGTGAAAAATTGACTGCCGTCCCTGGATTACGTAGTGCTTGAAAACTTCAATTCTCACTATCAAGAATCAATAATGACACTGACAAATCTTCACAACTCGCCCAATAGTTTTTTAGCATTAAAATAATTTTAAGTCATTATTTACACCTGGATTTTGTAAATGGTGTGATTTATGAATAGACGAAGATAAGTAATGGGTAAGTGGATAATTTTGTAGGATCGTTGAAATTTGTGGTTATAAAGAAAATTTGATACAATTCAGATCCATGAGAAAATTATGAAAATATAGAGATCAAATGAAGAGATTGACTTCATCAACCCGAGCCACAAATACCTCAACCTCAAATTGACTGATGCAGAGGATTACAAAAGAGCTTTCAACCTTGGATGATAGCAAATCGTTATCTGACTGTTCGAAAGTGGCACCCTAATTTTTGACCTTCCTTGGCAACGGTCACTCAAACTGCGGTTTGGATCCGTTTTCCTAATCTCCTTATTTAGTATTTCGATAGGATCATTTTTAAATAATTTATAATTTTTATAAACGAAAGCATAATTTTCTTTTAAATAATTTTGTTCAATTATATTTTAATTGAAATTAATATCCTTTATTAAAATGTTATTGTGTTCAAAGTTTTTACTTTTTAGTTTCTTTTTATAATTTTATAATTTATTTGGATGAATTTCATCTGCTATTGATGGATAGTGAAATTTCACTTGGATCATTAAACTTTAATTTGTGACGATTGAATTGATAAACTTCGATTTCATTTTAAATTTCACTACAACGCCACATTTTGTTACCTTTCCTCCCCAAAAAGACAAAATGTTTACTTGATAGTCATGTTATAACTGATTGTCCATGTATCTACTTTGCCACTCCTATAAATGAACATGATCAATCAAAAGTCATGGCAATGTATTTAGATTGAAATGTAAAATGCATTTTTTTTAAAATAACTTTATGACACGACATATAAATTAGTTTGTCGCAGAGCAATTGCTTGGAAGATTCATTTCCAGTATGATCAGTGTTCTAAAAACGTTAAGCATAATTACACGACAACGTCAATAGGCTTAAAAACTTACAAAGCATGGCTAGGTGGCAAGGCCTATGCGAACTTTTTAGAATAATGGTGTAAACATCAATTAAGTAATTTCATCAATTTGGAAGATGATTAGTAACAACAATTGAACTTGAACCATAGTTCAGTGACTCAATTTAAAATTAAATTGAAGTTTAGTGACTCAGTAATTGGAATTTTGCTAAAAGTTCTAGTGATTGTAGATGATCATGGCTCTTTCATCGTCTAGACTCCCTTTCCTCACTATTCTATACTTTACCAGAACAAGCCTACTATGTTTCTTGCCTATGATGTTTTCGCTAGATGATCCTTGTCAGTAGTGCCATCCTCCCTAGTATCTTTATGGACGAATCATCTTTTGTTGTTGTGTTCTGTTACATGAATAAATATAGTTTTATAAAACAATAGGAGGGGTTACTTGTTCTACCGTGTCGAGATATGAGGTGCATGTGTTGATGATCATCTCTGGGTATGTGCTAGAGCCATTGATGGGCACTCCAAAACTCGACAAAGTCCAATCGATCTCCCAATGTAAGGAAAATGAAGAAACGCGCAGTAAGAGTGCTTATGAGAACCCTACTTTTATTAGATATTTATCAGAATTTAAATAAATTTTTGTGGAGTCTAGTCTTATTTAACTTGCTTGGAAAGTAAAATTTTAATAGATTGTGATTGATGAAATATGTAGTTTAAAAGTCGTGAATTTCATGAAATGTGTAATGAAAATAAATTAAAAATAAAAATAAATTTTGAAAAAATGAAGAACAAACGGGACTTAATAGTGTGCGAACATTTTGTTCCATCCATTAAATTCCGACAGGCTGAAAGAAATAGTCTTCTATTTTGTTTTGATGTCGAAGAAAACCTTGTCCGCTAATGTGAAGGGACTTGGCCAAACGGCCGGCCAGTCTTTTCGTGTCCCATAGTCATAACCTGATTTTGCAGGCTACAACACATCACATTAATATAAATATTTATTTTTTCTTGGAACAAAATAAAAAAAAAATGAAAGCCCGCCTTAGAGGTCTCAATTGGAGCTAAACCACATATTTGAAACTTACAATTCAAAATCATACAATCATCAATTTATTATACGTAAGCTCGATTGACTATCGGATTTTCTTCTTCGATTTATGGTTGTCTTGACAACGACCTTTTATAAATATATATAGCCCATGTTTGGTGTACATTAAAATTTTTATTTTCATTCTTCTATTCATTTTCAACCACAAATTCTCCATCAATCTACTATTTCAGAATCAGTGTTCTAAAATACGTAATGCGTTGCGATTCGTCGAAAATCAAGAATCACAAGTTTAGGCGTGTCAATGTGAAAAATAAGCGTCATAATGCATTTCGTATTTTTAAGGCATTAAATATATTTTTATATAAAAAA